AGAGTAAGTTCAAAAGTAAATGAGTCTGCTCCTTTCTGTCTTTATTTTAAAAATAAGTTTTTATTGATTTTTAGAGAGGAAGGGAGAAGGACAGAGAGATAGAAACATCCATGAGAGAGAAACATCATCCATTGGCTGCTTCCCACATACTCCCTACTGGGGATCAAACCTGCAACCTGGGCATGTGTCCTGACCGGGAATCAGACTGGTGACCTCTTGGTTCCTGGGTCGATGCTCAACCACTGAGCTACTCCAGCCGGGCAGAGTCTGCCCCTTTCTGGTGTTCACACTTACATGACTCATTTAACCCTTCTGTGTCTCAGTTTTATCCCCTGCAACATGGGAATAACAATAATAAGGATATTACCTCCTTCCTAGAATCGTCAGATTAAAAGAGATGCATGCTTGCCTGGCTGGCGTGGCTCAGGGGTTAGCGTAAACCTATGAACCAGGAGGTCACAGTTTGATTCCTGGTCAGGGCACATGCTCAGGTTGTGGGCTTGATCCCCAGTAGGGGGCATGCAGGAGGCAGCCGATCGATGATTCTCATCACTGATGTTTCCATCTCTCTCTCCCTCTCCCTTCCTCTCTGAAATCAATAAAAGTAAAAGAAATGCATGCTTAATGGCTCAGCGGTGTCCTTCGGAGGCCGTGGGAGAGAGAGCCTTAGTGCAGAGCTAGGAGCAGCCTGCCTGGAGATGTCTTACTTTTCAGCGGCCTCTGCAGACTCTGAATGAGCTCCTCCAGCTCCTCTTGCAGAAATTAGACCCGATGAGGCTGGCATGGGCCTCTCTCCTCTCTGCCCACAAATATGGCCCCAGGGAAAGGGTCCACCTCATGGGTGTTTTGGCGGGGATGTGTGGTGTCACCATGGCAGACTGACCATTATCTGGGTCATTTGATCCTGGGCACCTGCCAAATCAGATAAGTCGGATGGTTTGCCCGCCTCTCTGGATCAGATGTCCTGAGTAATGGCCCTTATCTGCATCTGGCCGGGTCCTGGGCAGACAATCCCCCTTTCAGTGAGCCTGAAATGAAAGCTGGTTTCAGCAGGTATGTTCAAGGTCAAGGCTTAGGAGAGGATGCTGATTTAGAGGCCTACATTCACCCTCTTTCTTACGTGGCTCGATTCATGACGGTCCATAGGCATCGGTAACTAGTAAAGGTTAAAATGACTGGAGCTGGCTAATTTTCACATTAAAACATTTTAATCGAAGTGCAATACATGTCCCTGAGAGTACAAATATTAGAAGTGTGCAGCTCATGCACTTTCACAGAGAAGACCCAAGTCACCAGCACCCCGGTCTACGAAAGGAACACTATTAGCCCCAAGGCCCTCCTAGCAAACCCCCCCCCACACTCCCCCAAGGCATAACCACGATGCTGACTTCTAGCAGCCTGGCTAGTTTCACAGTTATGGAACTTTATATAAGTGGCAGCAGACAGCATCTTTAGGGCTGGCTTCTTTTGTTCACATTATGTTTGTGACATTTACCCAAGAGGCAGTAGTTCTTTCGTTCCCATTGCTGGGTAGTATTCTGTTGAATGCAACACCATCCATTCTTCCATCGATGGACATTTGAATTGTCCCCAGTTTGGGGCTATTACAAATAGTGCATTCTACCCACCGTGCGTGTTTTTGTGATCACAGCTGCATGTTTGTGTTAGGCGTCAGACTTTTTACTTTAAACATATAAATTAGAAGTGGGCGGGCTTATTATTCTCAATCTCTTTCGTGATGATATAAATATACTTTAGGGTTGGGATATAAAGGGCGCAACCACATTAGGGGTGCCCTGCTGCCTCTGGGATCTGTGTCTCGACCTTAGCATGTTCCCCATATGACCATCATTGGCCCCTGGAAGTAGGTTTTGTGGGAAGAGCTCCACAGCAGAAGCGTAGCCTTCCCCACTGGGGTCCCTCCACACCTCAGATCTTCAATTCTGCCTTTACCCACAACATGACCTCACACCATTTATTCAAGCTCTCCAGCCTCAGGGGTTTCATCTGTAAAGAAGGTTAGAAATGGGGGATCTTTTTAGATGTTTCCAGTTCTCAAATAATTTGAAATTGACTGCTGTCAATGATTAATTATGAGAAGAATAGCTATCGTTTGTTGAGTGATTACATTGCTTTAAGTAATTTATGCAAATTGTTTCATTTCATTCTTCCAAGATTTATTAGCCCCATTGTAATGATGAGAAAACTGGAGCCCAGAGAGGTTAAATCCCTCACTTAAAGACACCCAGCAAATGTCGGAACAGGGGTAAGAATAAGGCCAGGGCCACCCTCGCCTTCACTCTCAACTGCTGCCTCAGTTGTTTTTTTCCTTTAATGGTATATTTCAGGCATACAAAAAATGCAGAGAACAGAACTTCTACGTATCCACCAAACTGTCTTAGAGATGAAACATTTAAAACACAAGTTAGAATTCTCTGGTCTCCTCTCTGCTCCGACCCCTCCCCCAGAAGTGGTAACCTCTCTCTTGAATTTGGTGTTCATCATTCTCACATGTTTCTATATTTTTACCATACATGTATGTACTCATAAAAATATACTGAGTTGTTTTTCCGGTTTTTGAATTTTATTCAGTGGTACTGTTCTGTATATGTCTTTTTCGCTGCTAACTATTTTCCCCAACTCAACACTATAATTTTGAGCTTTCTCCACCATGATAGAGTTCTAGTTCATTAATTTTCACTGCTGCCTAGTGTTCCCCTTTAAGGATATATTCGAATTGATTCATCTATTCCATTGTTGATGGACATTTAGATTCTTTCACTTTCCTGCCATTAAAATCTGCTGCAGAACACTTTCTACAACATTTATGTACCGTATAAATCCCTTCTTTTACCAGAATTTTTCTTCTTAATCCTCACCTGAGGATAGGGAGGAAGGGAAAAATGGGAGAGAGAAACAATGATGTGAGAGAGAATTCTGGACTGGAGCCCCTATTTTGTTATATGTGTTGAAAACACTGCATCTGTTTTCTATGGTTTGACTTCACTCTCTTTTTAATGGTGTCTTTTAATAAAGAGAGGGTCTTCTGGTTTTAATGTAATGAAATATATCAGTGTTTTTCTTTATGGATATGCAACCCAACCAAGGTCAATTTGTGTGTATGGTGTGAGGTAGGGGGATGGAAAAAACTCAATATTAGAAAGATGGCAAGTATCCTCAAATTGACCTGTAGACTCTGTCCCATCCCAATCCAAACCTAATAGGTCTTTTGTTGTTGTTGAATAAAGGACTTGATCAATTGTATATGCTACACTGTATATGCTAAAATGTATATGCTAATACAAAAGGCCAAGAATAATTTTCCAGGGGGAAAGAGAAAGAATACATTTAATTGATATCAAGACTATTATAAAACTGTAGCAATTGAGACCATATGATAAAGATAACCAAATATATAGCACAAAGATAACCAGTTTGACCAATGGAACTGAATGGAGAGCCCTGATCTGGCCCCTCCACACACGGGGGCGTATGCTTTATGAGAGCAGTGGGGGAAAGACAGTTCTGTCAGTAAATTGTGACGGGTCCATTGGACATCCATACGGTGGGAAAAACAAACCACAACACGATGCCGCAGTGCTCTGATCTTTCATGTTTTTATGATGATGAGAGTGATGATTATAACATCACCATTATGTTTTTTTTACAGCTTTTGCCACTCTTAAGGTGTTTTCTAATCTATCATTTTCCCAACAGCCCTATCAAGCAGGCAGGGAAGACATTATTCATCCTTTCATAGATGATGAAACATAGGCCCGAAGGCACAAGTGACCAGCCCAAGGACCTTGCCTAGCAGCTGAGCCTCATCTGCTTCATTGCAATCCTGGGGCTCTTTTACTTCGTGGGGAGCCCAACTCCCATTCCTAGGGGGGATTAGGGAGATTCTCTTTGTGTCAACAGCTTTTACATGGAGGTGTAAAAAAACCCCAAAACATCGGGAGGAGATACATGAAGATGTTAATAACCATTATCTCTGGGTGGTGGGAATTGGCTTCACTAGTTTTCCTTCATACTTTTCAGCATTTTCTGAATCATCTTACAGTAGAGAATTAGTTGGAAAAACAATGTGCTTTAATAAAATAAGTGCAGATACCGATTCTTGTGGCTAGTCCCCACAAAGACTAGTCTGCCCATGGCCACCTTTGAACCTCTCCTTGAGCCCAAGCTTAACAGGGACTGGTTTGGAGTCAGAAAGCCCAGGGTTCAAATCCCGGCTCTGCTACTTTCTAGCTGTGCCAACTGAGGATGAGCCTCTTAACCTCTCTGGGCCTCAGTTCTCCCACCTGAGAAATGGAACTTCCCCCTGGGTTGTTTAGATGACGTAATAAGATCAAGTGTTTAAAACTACGTAACTCGGTGTGTGGCACTGAGGAGGCTGTCAGTCAGTGGTGGATCTTGTCACAGGCCCCTTCCCCAGAGATTTGCTGTAGGTCCTTTGCAGGTGGGCGTGTCTATCATTATTTATTGTTCCCACTTTACAGATGAAAAGACAGAGGCCCAGAGGGGATGCTGAAACATACCCAAAGTCACAGAGCTCGGAAGGGGTCTTCTGAAACCGGCTCAGAGAAGGTAAGTGACCAGCCAGAGGCCACACAGCTTAAACCTACTGCCTGTTAAAACAACAAACTAAACACCAGAAACCAAACTGCCCTTTATCGGGATGTTTACTCTTTGTGAGTCACCCAGTTAAGCCTCTTGAACAACAACAGCAGCAGCAGTGAATACTCTGCCTGTATGGAGTGCTTACTCAGTGCCAGGCATCTTGGTATTTGGCACAATAGTCGCGGTGAATTTTCCAAACGACCCTAGGACATGGGTCTCTGCAGCCCATTTTCCAGAAGAGTAAAACCGAGGCTCGGAGGAGGAGGCCCTTGCCGAGCTCCCCAGCAGGCCTGGCCCTGGCTCTGCCCAGCTACCCGGGAGGCGGCGGGAGGGCCAGGTGGCATGCAAGGAGTTAAGCGGTAGGCAGTGCTGTGGCTCCGTGTGAGGAGCGCGCCGGGCTGAGGCGCTGCTGGCGCGGAGGCAGTGGCGCTGGGAGCCGGGGCTGGAGACGTGAAGTCCGGGGCGAGCGGGGAAGCGAGGAACGAGGCTGGAAGGAGGCAGCCAGCGAGAAGCGAGGCGGCTGGATCTCACGTCCAGCGGCAACCGATCCCCGCGCCCCGCGCGCCCGGGGCCTGGGCATCCCTGGGACGGGCGTGTGCGCGGGGCCTCGCGGTGGCGCGGGGTCCCCGCAGTGCCGCCCGCCTGAGCGCCAGGCTCGCAGGAGCCGGGCTTTCACTTCCTCTCGCCTCCGCCCGCGTCCCCAGCTCGCCGGCTGGCGTCGCCACCCCTCCTGGTCCCCGGCCACCGCTGTCGCCGCTGCTGCAAGCCAGGACGCACACTTCACTTTCCCGCTGGAGGCGGAGGATGCCCCTTGCACCAGCCCTGGAGAAAGAGCCCCGGGCCCGGCTGGAGGAGCCTTGGCCGCGAGGAAGGAGATCTGGACTCCGATCTCCTTGATGCCACTGCAGCAGCTGACAGCTGGGAAGGCGCCCACAGAGCGGGCACGCCAAGCGGGACGCGGGAGTCTCCGAGAGAGACCCCAGGCGCCTGCTGGGCTCCGCTGGCAGAGTTTGCAAGTGGCTGACACCCCCGCAGGTAAGGGCTGAGGGCCCCGAAGAGGGGAAGAGGGTGGGGAGCTTCTGCAAAATGATCCAGCTTCCAGTTCCAGCCGCTTCTCCGCAGGCTGGGGGTTCAGCGCCCAGAGCCAGGTGAGTAAAGAACCCAGAGCGGTGACAGCCCAGCTCCGGGTAAATGACAAACTTTCTCTCCTCTGGCAGAGGGTGGGACATTCTGGCTCAGCCAGGCAGCCTTTCCCTGGACATCCTGCGGGTCCCCAAAGGCAGGCACTCAAGGGCTTCTCCCGCTGAGCTGGGCCAGGAGGAAGGCAGCCCTTTTCATTTGATTCATGAGTCACCCACCCCCTTCTTGGGCAGTTCTGAGTTCTGAGGGAGGAAGCACTGGTCATATTTTCCAGTTGGCTTTAAAGGTATTCGTTGGGGATGATACTCTGGTGGAGGAGGCTCCTTGTTATCTGAGCCAGCGTCCAGGCTGCCCAGGTGATGGGCTTTGTGTCCAGGGCTTTGCAGGCTTGCCTGTGTCCATTCTGGGGTGTGTGTGTGTATGTGTGTGTGTGTGTGTGTGTGTGTAAGGAGAGGGAGAGGGAACTGAAGGGCAGGGGGATCCATTCAGTTCAGTCAGATCACCTCCATCCAAGCCCCGAGTGTCATCCCAGGAGAGGACTCACCTCCTTGGCAGAGCCACTAGGAGAGGCGGGGATCACCTTCCGTTCCTTGCAGCTCCTTAGATGAGCAAAAGATTTGGGGCAAGTTTCCTGGGCCATTCAATGAGACCATTCAGATTGGAGCTTGGGGAGGTGCAAACTTTTTTGCAAAAAAAAAAGGAGCTGGAATGGACAGTTGTCTAAGGACTCCTGGCATGCTCATCCCCAGCTCTGAGGATGTGGGTGGTCCCCCCACACTTCATGTCCCTAGAGGCTGTGCTGAGGCCAGCACATAGCTCATGAGTTGGGCCAGATTATTTTTCCTCCTAATGAAAAGCATGATTCAAAGAGGCCACCTAGTCTCCAAGGATCATTTTGGAGCCACCCTTGCGGTCACAGACCTCTAGAAGGCATTGTGCTGCCTCACTGAGGTTCCAGCCTAGGGCTGGGGTCCCCTCGATGGACTGTTTGGTCAGTGAGGCAGGCAGTGGAGGCGCTTCTGACCATGACCAGAAGGTGGGACATATTCCTGCAATCGCCTGCTGGGGCTGGGAGGCTGTCTCTGGGGAATAGCATTGCCGCATGGTTCTTGGAAAGTGTTTGAGGCATGAGGTGGGAGTCTGAGGACCTCTTGCCGTTGCTTGGGGTTCTGACCTGGGGCCAGCCTAGGAGTTGCTTCCCTAGGCTGCTGAGACCCGGGTATTCCTCCAGGGCGTCGGAGACCGGTTCTTGATGTCTTGGGGCAACCCCATCTCTGGGTCAGGAACTCCATCTCTGGTTCAGTTTCAAGTCTGCCCTCAATTGCTGTGTGACTTTGGGAAAATCGCTAGACCTCTCTGGGCCCCTGTAGCTGCTTCTGTAAAAGGAAAAGATCTCATGTATCCTCAGAAGTCCCAGTTCAGGCACTCTATGACCCTGAGCAATTATCACAGGTGAGATTTTCAAAATCCCAAGAGTTGGTATAATTTAAGAGGCTTGGGACTTGGACACCTCTGTGTTTAACCAACTTTCCACCCTCCAAACCTCACTCCCTCCACTGTAAATGGGGAGCTCATAGTTCCGGCTCCAGAAGGCTGTTGGGAGGACTAACTGAGATGGTGCATGTAAGCCGTGTATGGAGCGGAGACTGGAGTGGAGCTCCACACACAAAGCAGCAGAGCGCCCTGTTTTCAGGTCCTGTGTGTGGGCATCCGGCTGCTATTTCCCCCCAGGGGCTGGCCCTATCGCACCAGGTGATCCTTGGCGGGGGGGCAGGGCCCTTGTCCTCTGCAATCACCTGGCACCTGCAGTCCCCACCCCTTCGCTGCTGCCTCATAAAAGCATGGCTGGACCAGCAGCTCCTAGTGGGGAACCCAGGGCCATCTGGGGAGGAATTGAGGCATCCAGCTGCTGTCACCATGACAACAGGAGGTGGAGGTAAGCTGTCTCCATGGCTTCAACTTAGAAGCTATGTAGGGACCCAGGGCAGAGAAGTTAGTAGGTGTGCCTGGGTGTCAGGCACTGTCTGCTGAGGCTGTCTGAGCTGGTGAGGCTGCTGTTCCCTGTAGGAACAGCCATGCTGGGGAAAGTGCCTTGTGTGTGTGTGTGTGTGTGTGTGTGTGTGTGTGTGTGTAGGCAGGGGACGGGGAGTTGCTGAGATTGTGGGGGGAAGGCAGAAGATTTGTCAGTCTTATTTCGTGCTGAGCGGTTCTGAGGCTTGGGGCATCTGTCCCTCCTCAAACTAGGGTTCCCCAGGGTCCAGGCGGAAATCACCGTGGGAAGGCAGACTTCATCTCTGCTGACGAGTGAGTTCATGGGCGTGCAGTAGGGACTGGGCAGCAGCAGTGCCGCCGTGGGCTAGCTCAGCCTGTGGGCTTGCCTGAAAAAATCAACAGTTTGCTTTCCTGGTGGAGTAGGATGTAAGTGTGTGTGTAGACACATGTGTATATTCTCATGCAGATTTGGGGCACATTTGCTCATTGTGAGTATGGTTGACATAAAAACCTTAGTGTATGTGAACATATGTGAGAACAGTGTCAATATGAGTGTGTATTTAGGAGATCGCATAAACATGGGTTGAGTACGTGTGCGTGTGCATGCCCACAAGAGAACGCGTGCCTGTGTGAGTCAGCACAAGTGCAGGGTGCATGTGCACTTGTGAGTGTTAAGCAGTTGTTTGTATGTGAGTTGGATGTGTCTCTGTGACTGGGCAGGTGCATGGCCACACAGCTGCATGCATGTACTGTGTGGGTCTGTGCGGTAATACTTGTGTTTGAGAAGCTGTGCAGGTCTGCCTGGTGCACGCTCTGCTAGCTGTCCATGCTGTCTGCACATGTCCATGTGGGCGCTTGTGAGTGTACATGTGTGTGCACTGATTATGTGAGTGTGAGCTGTGGTATGCACTCACAGGCTTATCTGTCTACATGGTTTCCAGTGTACATTGTGCATGTCTCTGTGTGCGTACGTGTGTATAGCACTGCACACTTGATTGTCTCTGTGTAAGTGTGTGCATCTGTTGGTCATGGTATAACCTCTGTGATTGTCTCTGTGAGCATGTATGATGTTCAGGGCATGTGCATCTATGAGTGTTAGAGGGTGCATTTGATTGCGTCTCTGAGTATACATGTGCTTCTGTGGGTATGCACATATGTGTATTCAGTGTACACTTTTTGAGCATCTGTGTGCTCACACGTGTTGCTGAGTGTCTGTGCCTGTGTGTAGCATTGCATGCTCAGTTGTATCTCTATGTGTATGTGTGTGTTTCCTGGTGTTGGTCTCTGGGTGTGTTGGTTCCAGTGTACATTTGAGTGTGTCTCTGTGTGGATGTGAATGTTGTGTGTGTCTCAAAGTGTGTTTGGGCATGTTGCAGTGTAACTTTTGTGTATGAGCATGTTTCTGTGTGTGTGCACCTGGGCTGTTGCACTGTACTTCCTCACATGTCTCTGGGTGTCCATTGTGTGTTTCTGAGCATGTTGGCGTGTCTGTCAGGCCATGTCACTTTTGTGCATGTCTCATGTATATGTGTATGTTTCCGAGATGTGCGTTTCTGCAGATCTGAGTATCTATAGGGGCGTAAAGGTGTGTGTGTGTGTGTGTGTGTGTGTGTGTGTGTGTGTGTGTGGTGTAAACACAACTGAGACTCCAAGCAGAAAACATTTCCGAACCTTTACAACGACTCTTCCGCCTGCTCCTCAGGTTTGAGCTGTGCTCGTGCTGTGCACCTTCCGAGTGTTGGCTCAGCGATCGGGGCCGGCTCTGAGCAGCACGCCGGGGTGTTGCGTGTTCGTTTTCTCTGCGCCTTAGCTCCGAAGCCGCTGTATTCCCCTGCCCCCGGCTCCCTCAACCCCCGCAGCAGCCCGAGTCGCTGTGGCCAGAAGCCTGCACCCGAGGAGTGCTGCTGAGCGAACTCGCAGATGTTAAGAGCGCAGGTATCAGATCAGGCAGAAGGTCTGCATGTCGGCAGCCTGGGATGGGCCGCGCATCTCGACAGCAGTGTTTCTAATTAGGAGCAACTTGTTTTCCTTAAATAAACAAATCAAGTGAGGAAAGAAGTTGCCCGAGATGAATGGCTCCCTGGAGCAGGTCCAGATGTTGGGAAGGTGAGGCTAGGGTCCCCACGGCCTACAGATTTTGACCAAGAGCTGATGAGGCAGGGGCTGAAGAGGAAGCCGGGCAAGGCAGTGTGAGGCAGGGTGTGGCTGCTGTTTGGTTATCGGGGTACATGCATCAAAGGCTCTAATTCCTCCTTCTTCCCGGTGTTCATGCCCTCAGCCACGCAACATCGTCATTCCTCCCACTCAAGGGACAGACGGGGTTTCTGTTCCTGGTCCTTTGTTTGGGTCCAGCCACGTGACCAGCTTTGGCCATTCGGGTGAGGCGGATGTGACAGCGTGTTTGTTCCTAGCCGAGGACTCAGAGCCTTGCGTGTTTCTGCCATGACTGGGAGAAGAGCTCCCCCAAGGTGGCCACTGCCCCCGCAGCCTGGCCCCAGAATGAACTCATGTCCAGCCTCCCTGAGCCCACACCTCAGTGAAGAGCCTAGGTCAGCCACTATCTGGGTAGCTAAATAAATGTCTCACTGCACGTCGCTGGGGTGTGGTGGTGTTTGTTACGCAGCATTAGTGTGGTTGTAGCTAACCAATGAGTTACAAGCAGTCTGTGTTTCCTTGTCCGGTTTGACGCCTGGTACTCACTCAGAACTGCATATGAATACCTGTACTTCTCACTATGGATGTCCTATTCCTACCTCGCTTTCTGCTCATCTCAACATTAGCAGTAATAATACAATAGTAATAATAATGATAGGTGTTTGTGGAGTGTTCACCAGATACCATACCCCAAGCCAGAGGCTTCATATATGTCTTATCTATTACAACAGGCAGTTTCTTGTCTACAA